GTGCTGCCATTGCAGAGCCCAACTCAGGGCTTAAATGCATGAAACTGAGCCGAAACCAAGAGATACCCAACTGACTTGAGTCACCCAGGTGCCCTGAGAGTTTCAAGTTTTTAAGGAATTTAGTGCAAGGACCCAATCAAAATGATGTTCCTAACTGGTTTCCTGGGTGGTTGATTCAGAGCTCCCTCTGCCAGAGCCAAATGAAGTCTGTTGGTACCAGAAATTGGGGAAGGGGAAAATAAAGGTGGCTTTTGTTGTTAAAGTTTATTTTGAAAAGCTTTAAATAATAGTGCAGAGTTTGCCCAGCTTTTCTCAATGTTATCAGTTTCAATAACCATAGTAAAATTTTCAAAACCATTGGTTTTAGAGAACTAGTAGTGTCCTTTTTCTGTTCTTAAGACACAGTTCAGGATCCCATACTGCATTTAGTTGTGTGTCCTCACTTAACTCCTCCAATCTGTGACAGTATCTTTGTTTTTCATTTACATATCCTATAGAGGTAGACTTCTAACTTTTCATGGGGAGGCTGGCTCTTAAGAGTAATAGGAATGCAGTTAAATAATAAGAAAAGCAATCTAGGATACATAGAGAATCTGGACATAAGTGATTGAAAAACTTGTATGGAATAATGTCGCATGTTAATCTTTTTACAGGCTCCTACGAAGGCAGCACCTAAGCAAAAGATTGTGAAGCCTGTGAAGGTTTCTGCACCCCGAGTTGGTGGAAAACGCTAAGTTCGCAGATCAGATTTTTAAATAAATATCTGACTATAACTAGATTGTGGTGGATTTTTTTACTATAAAAACAGGTAGGGGCTCCTGGGTGGCTCAGTTGGTTAAGTGTCATGTCAGACTTTGGCTTAGGTCATGATCTCCATGGTTCATGAATTGGAGCCCTGAGTCAGGCTCTGTCCTGACGGCTTGGAGCCTGGAGTTTGCTTTGGATTCTCCCTCTCCTCCCTCTCCCTGTCCCTCCCCCCCCCCCCCGTCTCTCTCAAAAAATTTTTTATTAACAAAACAGGCATATTGTGCCTACATAGTAATAGCTGAACTATAGAGTTAAGAATTTGAGAACTAGGTTTTTTTTTAATACAATGTTTTTTAAATGTTTATTTTCAGAGAGTGCAGGCATGTGAGTGAGGGAGGGGCAGAGAGGATTCTAAGCAGTCTTTGTGTTGGTGCGTGTCTGTGTGTGTCAGCACATAGCCTGACAAGGGGCTCAACCTCAGGAATCATGAGATCATGACTGGAGCCGAAATCGAGTTGGAAGCTTACCCGACTGAGCCACCCAGGTTCCCCAAAAGTAAATCTTTTCAATGAATTTCTGTTGAGTTACTCTTCCATGGTAAACATTTATTTTATATTGGTTTTGCCCTTCACCTATTACCATCAGTTGATAGCTGAATTGAAAGTGCATAAAACTTGGGGCACCTGGGTAGCTCAGTCCCTTAAGCCTGCAACTTCACTTAAACCTGCAACTCAATCTCAGATCTTGATCTCAAGGCCATGAGCTCAAGTCTAGTGTTGGGCTCTACGAGGGAGTTGGAAGTCTACTTTATTATTATTTTTTAGTTTATTGTCAAATTGGCTTACATACAACATCCAGTGCTCATCCCAACAAGTGCCCTCCTCAGTGCCCATCACCCACTTTCCCCCACCTCCCATCAACCCTCCATTTGTTCTCTATATTTGAGTCTCTTATGGTTTGCCTCCTTCCCTCTCTGTTTTTCCCCCTTCCCTTCCCCCATGGACTTATGTTAAGTTTCTCAAGATCCACATGAGTGAAAACATATCTTTCTGCGACTGACACTTAGCATAATACCCAGCATAATACCCTCCAGTTCCATAGCTGCAAACGGTATGATTATGTCTCCTCTCTCTGCCCTTCGCCGCTTGCACTCACATTCTCTCAAAAATGAACATTAAAAAAAAAGTACTTAAAACTTCAACTGTACTCGTAAGCTGCTTTTTTTTTTTTTTTTTCAACGTTTTTTATTTATTTTTGGGACAGAGAGAGACAGAGCATGAACAGGGGAGGGGCAGAGAGAGAGGGAGACACAGAATCAGAAACAGGCTCCAGGCTCTGAGCCATCAGCCCAGAGCCCGACGCGGGGCTCGAACTCACGGACTGCGAGATCGTGACCTGGCTGAAGGCGGACGCTTAACCGACTGCACCACTCAGGCGCCCCTACCACTCATTTTTTCCAGAAATAAGTTTGAATGAAGAGTACAACTTTGTTAGCACGTGAATATGCTTACAAATTCCCAAGGTGGTTTGTTGAGCTGGGAATTAGAGCCATGTTAAAATTGCAAGAAAAACCAGTAGCCTGCTGATACTCTAGATAATGTGTGTGTAAAATGTGACAAGGAAGAGTAATTTATGTTAATAGGCTTGTACTTCTGGCATCTGGGTGGCTCAAGTCAGTTAAGTGTCAGACTTCGCTCAGGTCATTATCTCACCCTTTGTGAGACTGTGATGACAGCTCCAAGTCTGCGTTGGATTCTCGGTCTCCCTCTCTCTTTGCCTCTCCCCCACTCGTGCTCATCCTCTCAAAAGTAACTAGGGGCGCCTGAGTGGCTCAGTGAGTTAAGTGTCTACTTCAGCTCAGGTCATGAACTCTAGTGAGTTCAAGCCCCACGTGGGGCTCTGTGCTGACAGCTCAGAGCCTGGAGCCTGCTTTGGAATCAATCTATGTCTCCCTCTCTGTTCCTACACCACTTGCACTTTGTCTCTCTCAAAAATATTGAAAAAATTTTTTTAAAAAGTAAAAAATAAATCCTGTTATGTGCCACTGCCAAGTTGGAAAGCTACAAGTCGCATCCTCATTTGAGAAACATGCTTTTACATATAGAAATACTAGGTGAAGGTAAAAATCAGACCTCAGCATTCCTCCCCCCATCCCCTCCATGCTATCCAAAGTGATAGAATTATTCTGTCTAGTGCATGTTAAATTCAAGCATTGTTCTGGGTGTTAGGAATAAATAAAATAGCCCTTTTGGGGGACTTGAAAACTAAAATTCTAACATCAATTTAAGAAATGTGCAAATCCACTGGCTCTTGCTTAGAAATCTCTAAGGTTTTGCTTGGAAATTTTTTTCATTTATTTGTAATTTTTTTTTTCTGAAACAAAAAGGAAAATAAGACCATTATTTAGCTGTGAACAAGGAAACTTAACCAACGAAACTACCCAACTTGAGTTCAGAGCTACATTCCTAATTTTGGGATACAGGAAAAAAATGTCCTTTTAAATCACTGCTTTTCTGGCTTACATGGCTTAAGGTGAAACTGTCAATTCTGATTACCCTTGATTCCTGGGTAGCCTGCAACCCAGGAGGAACTAGAAATAAATAGTAAATACCTGTCTAGAAGGGTGGCAAGTTTAGCTTTTCTCAGGAAGACAATTAGTCCACCTGTAAAACCTTTTCTCCACATTGGCCCAAAGGCAATTCAAGTACAGTGGCTTCTAAATGCTTTTCACAGGTTGTTTTGGCAGAAACTGAATTGGGTAATTTAAGTTTTTCTCCGCTTCCACAACTTTTTAAATCTATTTTAAGTTAGTTTTTTTTTTTTTTTGTTTTTTAAAGAGCTGCAGCTATCTTAATGTTTATTTTTGAGAGAGAGAGACAGAGCATGAGTGGTGGAGGGACAGAGAGAAGAGAATCCAAAAAAGTCTCCAGGCTCTGAGGTGTCTGTCAGCACAGAGCCCAAGGTGGGGCTTGAACTAATGAATAGACCATGAAAACATGACATGAACCGAAACCAGCTGCTTAACCAACTGAGCCACGCAGGTGCCCCTTAAATTTAGTTTTAAAGGAAGTCGATTTCACAGTATAAGAGTGATGGTGCTGGTCCAGCACAGTTCATGGAGGGTTGATTTGGGTATCTGCTTTGGGTGGCCCACTCCAAAGAGCGGAGAGGACGCATCTCTACCTTCTAATTCCTCTTCCTTTCCCCAGCTGTCTCAGTCTGGGTTGAGTGACCCTAAGTAAATACCTGGTCTGCTTGTTATGTCTTTCCTATATATGTCTGGGAGCTCAGGTACCTACAGCCAGAATCTTATTCAAGGATGCTGCCTCAAGTATCTAAGCCACCTGTCAATTCCCGCAACCTCAACCGCAAGTACCGCAGAGATTGGTTGCCATCCTATTTTTTGAGCCCAGTGCATTCACCTGTTTACCTCTTAACATGTCTCCGCAGGGTCAGAGAGCCTGACCCAGCGACTGCAGACTCCAGGCTGGGGGCAGAGGGGGAGGGTTGACCTGGAACTAGCAAAGCACTGTCAATGCCAGACCCCAGTTGTCGAGTAGGATGTTCTGGGCCTGTAGTCTTGTCTGCGCTGCAGATTCAACCAACGGATGGGTGGTGGCATGGGCCATTGCTCCGGCCTACCCGCTAAAGATGTGAAACAGGACCCGCACTGTACGCTGGAAGATGCATTTCAGGTCGCCTTGGTCTTTTATGCATTCGGTAAATGTTGGGTGTAAAATGGAGAATCCCCCCCCCCCCAGCTTATGTAAAAATACATGCAAATGAAGCTGTAAGAGTGCTATCTACTCATTGCCAACATCATTACCTTCAAATATAGAAAACTGCCCCTATGTTAGACGGTCATTCGAGGAAAATCCCGACAGTTCCATGGCTGATTTGGAGCCAACACTTTAAGTCTGGAAATTATAATTCTTATCACCGAAGGACTCAGATTTCAAACGTTTACCTGTAAAATAAATTTACATGTGAATTCGGCTATCTTTGGTCTTGTGTCCATAGGCTTACATTTTACTAAGATCCTCAAAATCTTATGCTTTTACGTTGTTGGGGGGTCTCAGAAGGTAATCGGGGTAAAAAAAAAAAACCAGACTCCTCCACACCTTGGTGTATATCCGACGGGAAATCAACAGCCCACCAACTCCCACACGTGCTCAGAGCAAGGGAAAGAAGGAAAAAATGAAAAGGGAAACTGCCAGGACTCAAGATGTCTGCTCAAAGCAGTCTTCGGTCTCGAAGGAAAGGCCTACCCTCTTCCAAAATGTCCGCCCGCAGTCCTGACGTCACCCGGATGGCTTCATCAATCCAGAAAGCCTGTGCGCTCCAATCAGGACTCAGTCCCCTCACCCACTGCCTTTGATCACGTCACTTCCGGTGGTGCAGCAGCCATTTTGTCAGTCGCCAGCGGATCCCGCGCGCTGGAGAAGTGCAGTTCCCCCTGGTTACCAACTCGTCGGTTCTGCCTTTGCGCTGCAGGCGCCGTCGAATAGCACTCACCACAGATACAGCCATTCCTCCCTACAGTGCCGCCGCCGCTGTTGCATCCGTCCGGAGCTAGTGCGCTGTCTTCCTCCCCCACCACTGACAGGCGCCCTTAGGGAGCCGCCGTCAGAGATGTCAAGCGAGGAAAGCTACCGGGCCATTCTTCGCTACCTGACAAACGAGCGTGAGCCGTATGCTCCGGGCACGGAGGGCAATGTCAAGCGTAAAATCCGCAAAGCGGCCGCCTGCTATGTGGTGCGCGGTGGGACCTTGTACTACCAGCGGCGGCAGCGGCACCGCAAGACCTTCGCGGAGCTGGAGGTAGTGCTGCAGCCCGAGCGGCGCCGGGGGCTCATCGAGGCGGCGCACCTGGGCCCGGGCGGCACTCACCACACCCGGCATCAGACCTGGCACGACTTGTCCAAGACTTACTGGTGGCGAGGTAGGACCTCGCCCGTGGCGAGGGGGCGGGCGGCGGCCTGTTGTCCAGGCAAGGCCCGCTGGCGGAGGCGGGCTTGCTTGCGCACGAGCGAGTTGGAGGGTCCTAGACGCCCCTCGCCCACCCAGCCGGCGCTCGCGGCGGAGCGGCTGCCAGGCGGAGCCGAGAGGGTGGGGGACGCGAAAGGAGCCGCACTTCCCACAGGAAGGAGGCCGGGGAAGCTGGGGGCGGGCCCTGGCCCGGGGTGGGGCGAAGGGGGCTTCCCCGGGGGCCGGGCCAGCCGCCGGGAGGGGCCCGGTCGTGCGGGCTGCGGCAGGCCCGCCTCCTTCGGCGGTGCTGGAGGCGGTGGCTCCTGCCCTCCCGGACGCTCCAGGGCGGCGATCGAGCGGAGCTACGTCTGTGCCTTTTAAAATCTTGTTTCTGCTGATAGTCTGGGGAAGGGACAGTCTGTTCCAAGCCTGGGCTGCTTGCTTCAGCCGTTTGAGCTAGGATTTGGGCCTGCGGGTTTGAGGTTCTCTGGAACTGCTTGCCCGTATTCTTCGAATTGTGCTACTGCGGCGTAAATAAGCAATAATGCGATCACACAGCTCGTGCAGAGCTGATCTGAAATGACTATGGAAATAACTGTCTTCAGCTTCGATTTTAGGGCAAGAATTCAATGTGAATAGCAGATGCCTTTCATTCTGAATGTTTTCATTTTCTTCCCTTTGATACTGTAGAAAGCGCTTTGGAAACTGAGGCACTATGTACACTCCTGAAAGATAAGGTTACTGTGGTTGTAACAGGAAATACTGCTTTTAAGTTTCTTGCCTGCTTGGGAACCAGGTTAAGGAATGAGGGCAAGGGTCTTTGGCTTCTTTCCCGCCCTCATCCTCCACAAATTTGATTTACATTCAAACTGTTCACTTGGAATTAGTGGAAGTTTGCAGGCCCTTAGGAGAGGTTTTGTAAGGAAGGATTCTGCCCTTCAGTCTCCTTATGGCTCAGGAGAAATTAACAGTCTGGGTTGCTTATCCGTGATTAAAGAAATTCGACTACCGACTAATTTCTGAAGTTCTTTTCAGTTCCTGAACTTTGTCATCAAGCCTATTAATTCACAAACTATTGGGTAGTCCTTCCTTTTGTTCCTTAAAGAGTTCTTGTGTGTTTTCAAAAAACGATCCAGCTCTGTTGTTTGCTTAAATGCGTTCTCTTAATTTATTTTTTATTTTAAACCAATATTTGAATTAAATTCCTCTAAAGGGACAGAAGTGTGAAAGGTGAATACGGAGTAATTGCTGCCTTTTGTTAAAACTGATTTGGTCAGGCAATTGTTTTCCTGAGCAAATGTCTTATGTTTAATACTTTATGACATGTTGGCGCGCCTGGCTGGCTCAGTGGTTAGATCTTGTGACTCTTGATCTTGGGGTGGTGAGTTTCAGTCCCACTGTGGGTGTAGAGATTACTTTTAAAAAAATAATTAAAAAATACTTTATGACATGTTAAAAATTAAAATATAACTAAGTATCATTGATCAGACTTGTACATGCAGGCATAGTCTGAGCTCTTAATTTGTTTTCGTTTAATCTTGATAAAATCGTGTAAGGTGGAAATATTTATCTCTGTTTCAGCCATGAGAAAACTAAAAGCATCAGGTGGTTATATAGGTCAGAGGTCACACAGCTGACCTTTGTGATTTCATGCTCTTAACCACTATTATAAGGTGCTGTAACGGTTTAGTGTTAAGAATTTTCATTCCCTAAACTTATTATCTGTGAATGATATTGAATGCAGTTTGGTTGGGGGGGGGGGGGGTTGTTTGAGTTTTTTGGTGTGCAGTGTCTTAAAAGACAAAAATTTTTAAAAATGAGACCATGTTTATGTTTAATTTAAAAATGAAAGAGATACATTTGTGGTTTGTCTACATTTGTAGAACTTAAGAGGCATTAAATGACTAGAACTGTTATTCTTGAAGTACCACACGTCAGTAGAGTAGTGAACCCCTGGCAAGGGAGGCCCTGAGATCCTTTCAGAAGATCCACAAAGGCAAAATTATTTTCATGATAATTCCAAGGCATTATTTGCTTTTTTTTCTAGTTTTCCAAGTATACGGTGGAGTTTTCCAGAGGCTATGTGACATGTCATATATGGCAATAAGTTGATTGCAGAAGCATATATGATAATCTGTCTTCTGTTAAGCCACACATTAAAAAGATTTTCAAAAATGTAAAGCAGTACCCCTCTTCTCACTATTTTTATGAAAATAGTGATTTTTTCATAAAATGCTATTTTGTTGACATGTAATGACTTTTTGTTATTTGATGATCTCATTATTTTTATTATTTTAGTCGTTCCTCCTTTCAAATAAGAATGTGGGGCACTTGGCTGTTGCAGTCCATAGAGCGTACAACTCTTGGTTGTGAATTCAAGCCCCACGTTAGGCATAAAGCTTACTTAAAAATAATAATAATAATAAAATAATTCATAATCATCAGAGAAGTTTGCTCTCAGTTATTAACTATTCATTTTATTTTTTTTAAAGTAGCTATTCATATTGATTCTTAGTACGTTAACACTTTGGTTGCTTCCTTGTTTATGTGTAAGATATATATATAATACAAAGCCATTGTAGACTATTTACCTGAAAGCTATTAAGAATTGATCAATGTAAGTGCCAAACAAACTGTTTCAGAGTCATAAGTTGTATCAAGGACAGTTTAATGAGATTCATAATTTATTTTGGTTTTTTTTTTTTTGAAATGCTGCTATCATAAGATATATTCTAGTGCTCAGGCAAGTTTGTAGCAATTTTCCTCCTTTGAGTACAGTTGAGAAACTGTGGTTCATGCCTAGAAGTTTACATATAACAAATTTCAGAATGTAAAATGTTAATAATTATTCTCAATGCCCCTCCCCCCCCCCCCCACACACATAAACCTCTTATTTCATCTTGTATTGAAGTCTGTGCTGGAGTTTCAAAATGATTCTCTTCCCTGCCTCCATCAGATGCTGATGCTAGGTATCTACAGTGAAATGCTTCCAGAATGTAAAGAAAGAATTAAATTAGGAGGGGGAAACAAAGATTAAACTGGCCAAAAAAAAAAAAAAAGTTAGCTACCTGTAGAAGTCCCTACCCCAAGAACTGATTTTTGTTTTAGAATAATGGGATAAATGGATGCTGTTGTTAGGGAGCCTAGAAGAGGTTGTAATCTCCAGAAAATCCACCAAAAACTGGGTCTTTATAACCATAACTAACCACCTGTAACCTCTTTGAAGAAAACAAAACAGAAGAATTCATACGCATGTAACCAGAAATGGGAGCCCCTGAACTGGGGTGGTCATTGTATCCAAAAATGATAGGGACGGAAGCTCTTGAAGAGCTGATAGGAGCAAAATTGTTCATTTTGGCAAATAGATCTCTGAAGCATTGGTTCTTGACCCAGGAACGATTTTGCTTCCCAGGAGATGTCTGGCTATGTCTGGAGACAGTTTTGGTTGTCATAACTCGTGGTGGTGGTTGAGGGGTTGCTATCCACATCTAGTTGGGTAGAGGGTAGGAATGCTTCTAAACGTGATACAGTAAGAATGGACAGGACAGCCCTCTACACCCCTCCCGCCACCAGCAAGAATCATCTGGCCCAAAATGTCAACACTGCTGAAGTTGAGAAACCCTGCCCTAGGGTAAGAAACTGTTCCTCAAATTGTTTTATTAGAGGACTACCCACTAAAGTCTTTTTTTGTTTTGATTCTGTGCTCAGTGAAGAATCTTTCAATGGTAATCTTGATGTTTTATGTGGGGTTTTTGTTTTTTGCAGTACCAGAGAGGTTGACCAGGGAGTATTACCGTATTTAGCAAACACTTATGTAGTAGTTACTGTGTGTCATATAGTGTTCAAAGTGCTTTATAAATCTTAACATTAATCATAACACCATAGTGTAAGTATCATTACCCCCCATTTTGCAGTCGATGACACATAGGCACAGAGAGGTTTGGCATGGTCACCGAGCTAGTTAGTGGGTTCAGATTTTGCTGCATAAGTAGTTTCAATCCTTTTCAGTAATGTAGTAAATTAATTGTGTTTATATATTGATGTCTTTTTAGTGATTAACTTGAGTCAGTCTTTCAACTTAATCAATTCTGGATGAACTAGAAGTTAGATTTCTGAATCTTTAAAGCTAGATTTAAGATGATCCATCAAAACACTAACACTCAAGGGAGAGGACTTGAATATCAGGTGACTTTTGAGAAAACTGATTATCATACATTAAAATTTTTTCCTGTAGTTTTAATAATTTTCATCCTTTTCAAATGCTTCCTATGTAGTTTTTCCAATACCATTTGAACTTAGCAAGTTTATGGTGTAACCAGAGTTCTGCTATATGCAGAATATACTGAACGATGTAGAATCATAAAATGTTTAGAAATACATCCAAAGTTAATTAGGAAAGCATGCTGCCTTCTTTGTTTACTGTGAAGATGAAAACTTCCTCAGCACTACTTCTTATTCTTTAAGTATTTTTTTATGTTCATTCATTTATTTATTTAAATGTTTATTTTTGAGAGGTGAGAGGGAAAGAGCATGAGCAAGGGAGGGTCAGAGAGAGGGAGACACAGAATCTGAAACAGGCTCCAGGCTCTGAGCTGTCAGCACAGGGCCCAGCACAGGGCTCGAACTCATGAACCATGAGATTATGATCTGAGCTGAAGTTGGACGCTTAACTGACTGAACCACCCAGGGCACCCCTCTAAGTATGTTTTTTTACTTATAAATATGTATTCTCTTACGTGTGTCATTTCCCACTCTTATACCCATTTATTCTTTTTACTGTAGTTGGCCTACAATATATTAGTTTCAGGTGTATAACTTAGCGATTCAACAATTATATACATAATGAATGTTTACCATGATAAGCTTAGGTATCATCTGTTGCCATGGAAAATTATTATTACCATATTATTGACTATATCTCCTATGTTGTACTTTTCATCCCCATGGTTTATTCCATGATTTATTTATAGTTGGAAGTTTGTATTTGTACTCCTTTACTTTTTTTTTAGTTGTGGTAAGATATACATAATATAAAATTTACTGTTTTAAGTGTACAGTTCAGAAGCATTGAGTACATTCACATTGTTGTGTGACCGTCACCACTCTAGAGAAATTTTTTATCACCCCAACCCATTCACTTTTTTTTTTCTTTTGACAAAGAGAATGAACTTTTTTTTTTTTTTAAGTAAGCTTTACGCCCAATGTGGAGCTTAAACCCATGACCCTGAGATCAAAAGTGGCATGCTCTACCAAATGAGCCAGCCAAGCACCTCTTAATTATATGTAAAATATAATTTTACTCTTAATTATTTATGTAATTATATGTAAAATATATATGCATCCAGCCTTTTTATCATTTTTAAAAATCTTCTCACTGTATAGACTTTTATTGACTGTAACATACAGGTATAGACTTTTATTGACTGTAGCATTTTCAGACATTAGAATATATTCTCTAAATACGCACACATAAATGCCTTTTTATGGAAGTTTTATTTAATCCTGACCCAGTATTTTCTGAGTTATGTTCCGGGCAGAGGGGGCGGGGAGTTGGGGGGTGGGGAGGATCTATAAGAAATAAATTTGGCAAATTTCTGTTAAGCAGCTGTCTTCATTGTAGAACTCTTAGAGCTTTGAATGTGATAATACCCATTATGTGTGTATAAAATGCAAATATAATTTTGTGAATTTATTAATCCAGTGTATACTTTTTTAGTAAGTATGGTACATAATACAATTTGAGAAACATTGCTTGAATATTACCCGAAGGTTGAAAGGAACCATGGTATAATTAGACATCTTGAAATTTTTTCAGGAACTTATTATATACCTCTATATCATTTTAGCTAAGTAATGAGCCTTTTCATTTACATTTTACGTGGGGATTGCAGGGGGAGAATTTTCTGCCACAGTGATGGATAAATGTATTCCTGGGTAAGTAGCATAATATACTGAAAATCAGATGGCTTTTGGAGACCCAGTAATGCAGTTTACTAGATGCAACTTGGGACAAGTTTCTTACCTCTTAGGCTTCATTCTTCTCATTTGTAGGATGGAAATTAATTGGTCCTACCTTGTAAGGAGGATGGTGTGCGTAAGCATTCTCCCTGCTCCTCACCCCTGCCCCAACATGCTGAACTAGAAGTTGAAATTCACGATAGGATCTTGTGAGTGGCTTGTGTACAAGCAACTTTTGTTAAGACTGTGTATGCTGTGGGGCACCTGGGTGGCTCAGTCAGTTAAGCTTCTGACTCTTGATTTCTGCTCAGGTCATGATCTCATGGTTCATGAGATAGAATCCTGCATTGGGGTCTGTACTGACAGTGCAGAACCTGCTTGGGATATTCTTTCTC